ACAGTGGAATATTTATTGATCATTTTTAGGCTTTGCCAGCAGTACTTCCATTAGTACTGTAGAGAGAGATTGCGCAATAGAGAGAGTTTTGAGTAGGCTCTGAGCTGTGTGCGGATACAGAGACCTGGTATAGAGTATTGAGAACCCTGAGCTGTGTGTGGATACAGGGAGATTTATATATTGGATTTTTATTTAATTTATTTTTTCATATATATTTATTGGACGCACCCAAGCTGTAATTGAATTTACACGCTCACAATATCATGAAATAACACACATTCCTGATCGTTATGTTAGCCCACCCACATCAGATTTTAAATGTTTGTTTGTGAAATTTTATCAAGATTGAAAATGATGGTAGTATGATAATTTTGGAAAAGTTGATGATAAGGACCAAGAACAATCCTTCTATTTTTTTTACAGGATATTTGCAAGCATCTGTAATATTTTTTTTTACTACTACATCATTTTTTTTAATGTTAAATCTTGTCTCATTGATCTTCTTTTCATAGATTCTCTGTATGGGATGAAGGTATTGAAAAAGAATATTGTTCAGAAGGTACTTGGGGCAGGATGGTCTTGGATCCCTTGTTGAAAATCATTACATATAAATTTAATAATAATGGAAAGGGTTTCCGACAGTGGTAATGTATTGTTTTAATGTACATCAAGAAAAGTAGTAGGTTTTGTTACTAAATAGTTAGCTGTATTAGGGGTGAAGCAAAATCTTTGGCTTCAAGTTTTCGAAAGGGATCCTATGCAAGGAAACCAGATTTCTGTTTCCTTTCAAGAGTAGCTGGAACTATCCAAGAAATTTTATATGAGGAGACATCCTCTCCTTTTATCAATCTTCCAAACAAGATCCTTGATGATCTATACAAACTGTTCCAGTTCGGACATGATTCAGAAGTTATGATGACTACTGAATTAATTTCAGAGAATATTCAATACTTACCAAACTATGAGGAATTGTGGAAAAGGCTATGTGATGTTGAGCTATTTCTCCTTCAAACTTATGGTGGGTCTCATACTAATTGATCTTTGTATCATTAATCATTCTACTAAAAGTAATATTTTGCATTGAATAGAAACAAAACTTAGAGTTTTTATTATGGATCAACCTGGACCTCCAATGTGTCGAGTTTGTGAGATCTTTGATTTTCAAATCCCTTACAACTCATCAGATGAAATTTCAGTTCTCTATTTTACTCATGGTCTCTGGAAAATTCGACTAGGTTTAGGAAATACATATACAGTACACTCTCTCTATAACGGCCCTTTCTATAATGGTCTACACTCTATAACGAACTGAGAATTGGATCCCAATTTTTTACTATATAAAATCCTTACTCTATAACGGTTTTCT